GGTCAATGGTTCTCTGATTCCATAACGCTGTAATTTATTACGCATTAGTGGTTAGATATATTGAAAAAAAGTTATTTTCACGCGTTTAATGTAGCTAATCAATTAGTTTAGACGTCATCTTACGGAAAACATGTCAATATCAATTATAAAAAAATAAAAAATTTATTTTCTTATAGTAAATATTTATTTAATTACAAGCATATGGATAAACTATATATTTGTATGACTTTGAATGAATGGGCATCGCTAAATTATCTAGTGCTATAAATATATCTTATTACTATAAAATACAGTAGCTATTAGACTTTGAAATAGTAATGCAAAACACCAAAGTACTTATTGTAATTGTTTTTTATCCCAGCAATGTAATACAATAGTTATTGTTTTTGTTTATCATCACAGCAATATAATACAAAAGGTTTAGAGCTTCAATATATTGTTGGAAGAAAAAAATAATGAAATAGTTTTTGTAACTGTTTTTATTCACAGCAATACAATAACCATAAATAATGTTTTAATTACATCTCTAGTATTACAATATAATATTATTGTATTGTAATTGTTATTGTATTTAATTTTAACAATAACAATAACAATAGTCCTAAACCTAATTAAAACAACTTTTTTAACTAACGTTTTCTGCGCAACTTCTTTACTTATAAGTTTGGTTTAAATACAATAGAAAAACATTGTTCTAAGGTACCTAATACTACCTAAGGTACCTAATACTACCTTTCTAAGGTACCTAATTCTACTAATAAATTAATTTTTTTTTTAAAGTGGAGATAAAACAAGTTAATTCGTCGAAATTTGTTGTTGTTGTTGCTTAAATAATGATTATGTAGCCACTGTTTTTTTTTTAATAAAAGTGTTAAAAAGATTCATAGAATAACTAAAAAATAAATTTTATCATTTTATTTTATTGATTAAATTTTATACGCTATTAAAATTATAACCTATAATGTTGATAAAAGGGTCCGTCTTATCGTGGATAATATCGACGTCATAGGCAAGAACATCATAGTTTACTACTTTTTTAACAATATTTTATAAGTTAAATTTTTTTTAGTTATTTATATATTTGTTCTCTTTACAGAAAGTAGAAAAGTAAACAAGAAAATTTATTAAGCAATTAAAAATTTAATAAAACTTTATAAATTCTAATCATTTTTATTTTCCATGATTCTTGATTTCGTTGATTTCCGTGATTACTTGCTGACTTTTTTTGAGGAATTTCTTAAAAGTTTTAATACTTTTTAATTTTAGTTTTGTGTATTATAGATTTTCTCTTTTAATTATTATATTTACTACTTTTTTTAATTATTATTATGTTTAACAGAATAACGTTATTATTACATTTAAATATAAAGTTGTCTAAATATACACTTTAGTTTCTTATTCCTGGAATACTTGGTCTTGTATCTGGTTTTACGAAAAACCGCTGCTGTGTAAGTTTGATTTTATTTTATCGTTTATAAAAGTTTTATCCAAATATATTATAATATAGGTAGCTGATAAAATCAAAAACCTATTTTGACGTTTGAAGTTTTGTGTAAATTGATGACCAAAATAAGTATTTGCTTTGATTTTTAATCACTTTTTAAAACAATCTATTTTTTAATTTATCGCCTGCTCAAACTAAAACCCTTAATCGTTGTATGTACACACCCTGCATGTTTTACCTATTTAGTCAGTCAATAGGTGTACACTCCATGCATGTTTTTCCAATTTAATTCAGTCAATGTATGTACATTAGAGTGGGTCTTACTTTTAAAATTTTGGATATGGGAGTGCGCGCAGTATTTTTTTTTTATGTATTAGGATATTAGAAGAGACGTGGATATTTTTTTTCTTGAAAAGTTGATCTAATGTAGGCGCAGGGCGTTTAAAAAGTGTCAGTTTTACGAAAAACTTATCATATTGACATTTTTTGGTCTTTTTTATATTACCCAAAGGTAAGGCAATTATCAAAAAATAATCAGACATAATATAGACATAAAAATAAAACATAATATTTGGTGCTACTTTTCTTAATGTTATAGAAACACAATAGATGTAAGAAAAGTTGTCTACCATAATGGATTTTAAAAAATAGTATCTATATATAAATGTTAGTAATGAGATATTTCGTGCAATATTTTTTTTATATATTAGGATATTAGAATAGACGCTAATAATTTTTTTTTCCTTAAAAATTTGTCTTGTGAAGGCGCAGGACTTTCAAAAAATGACAGTTTTATAAAAACGCATTAAATTAGCATTTTTCTGCTCTTTTTTGATTAGCCAATGTTGATGCAATCATTAAAAAATAACTTGGCATAATATAGACATTAAAATAAAACATAATTTTGGGTAACACTCTTCCTAAAGTCAAAAACGTATACATAAGTATACCGTGTTTGCTTTAGGATGTTAGAAGAGGGAAAAAAATTATTTGCTCTATAGATAATAAATAAGATAGTTCCTACAATAGCTCACAAACTTTCTGAAGGATTAAAAGTTCATTGGTCCTAAATAAAATGTCATCTAAAATATACAATATACTTAAAGCTGAACTTATTGCTGATCATAAATAAAATCCAAAGCAAAACAACAAAAGAATTCATACTCTTTAATCCACAGAATACTCTTTTACATTTAATCCACAGACTACTCTTTTATATGCTTTCATTTAGCACCATTTCACTCTATCACCTGTCTTTTTTCTCTATATCGCTCTCCTTCATCTCAAGACTGCACTCTTTTTGATTTTATTTCTGATCATATTGACCCAGCCCTCTCTCTTTATCCATCAGCCAATATTGTTGTTGTCGGTGACTTTAATATTCATCACACTAAATGGGTTGGCTCTAGTGTCAGTAACTCTGCAGGCATTAAAGCCTTAATCTCTAACTCAAAGAGTCAACTTTCCAACTCGCTTTCCAGACAATCCGAATCAATTACCTTCTCTACTTGACTTATGCCTTGTTTCTGATCCTAGTCCACACTCACCCTTAGGTGCTTACGATCATGGTTTGGTCTCTATAAAACTATTATCTCATTCTTCTTTATCATCAGAATTCCCATTTCATCGTACATCTTACAACTACCTTAAAGCTGACTGGGACTCTTTCCGTGATTTTCTTCGTGATTGGCCTTGGGTAGGAATTTTTTGTATTCCTGTTGACAAATGTGCTTTTACATATCTTCGTGGATTCAGGCTGACATGGAATCCTTTATTCCCTCTCGACGATTCTAGGTCAAGCCTCACTCTTTACCATGGTTTTCCTCACATTGTGCTTCTGCAATTGCCAATCGAAACCATATCTATCAGTTTCACAATTCTCCAGAAAACAGACGTCTGTTTATTAATGCTAGGAACCATTATAGAAAGGTTTTGTCCAACGCCAAAGTCCGTTATTCTCAGATCATGAAATCTTGTATTTCATCACAAAAATTAGGCTCTCGTGACTTCTAGAGAATTTTTAATAATATCAATAATAAGGGCAAGTCTGTAATTCCACCTTTTATGTATGGTTCAGACTTTGTCACCTCACCTAAAGAACAAACTAAATTTTTTGCTAAGAACTTTTCATCGATATCATCTCTTGATTCTACTAGTTGCATTTTACCTGGTATAGGCGTCAAACAGGTTGATCCATTGCTCGACATACATATCACTCCAGTTTCCGTATATAAAGTGATTTACTGCTTAGACTCTTCTACAGCTTGCGGCCCGGACAACATACCTGTCATAGTCTTGCAGAAGTGATCTCCGGAGCTGTCCCCTATCCTTTCAAAACTATTCATTAAGTGCTTATCAGACTCCTTTTTTCCAGCCTGCTAGAAAGCAGCATCTGTTTTCCCTATTTTTAAAAATTCTGGAGAGCAATCCGATTTGTCTAACTATCGTCCCATGAGTCTTCTTCCTATCATAAGCAAGGTTTTTGAATCTTTAATAACAAATACTTTATCTCTCATCTTGAATCTAATAAATTACTTTCTGATCATCAATATGAATTTCGATCTTCTCGTTCTACGGCTGATTTGCTAACAGTAATAACCTATAGGTTTTTTAGCGTATTAGATGGAATACGCTATTAGGTGGAGAGGTTAAGGCCATTGCTCTTAAAATTTCTAAAGCGTTTGATAAAGTTTGGCATGCTGGTCTTCTCCATAAGCTTTCTTCTTACGGTGTATCTGGAAACAACTTTAGGATTATTGAATCCTTTCTTTCCAATCGTAGTTTAAAAGTTATCCTTGATGGACAGCACTTCTTCTTATTCTGTAACCTCAGGGGTTCCTCAAGGTTCAATCCTTGGCCCTATACTGTTTTTAATTTACATTAACGATCTTCCAGATATTCTCACATCTAAGGTGGCATTGTTCTCTGATGATTCTACCATTTACTATTGTCACGATAAGAAGCCAACTTCCTCTGATTGCTTGCAGGAGGCATTTGAGCTTAAAACAGATCTCGCTTCTGCTACAGCTTGGGGCTCACAGTGGCTTGTGAACTTTAATTCAGATAAGACTTATTATTTTTCAGCCAATCCTTATCGCAATAATTTAGACCTTCCTATATTTATGAACGGTAATTTGCTCGATGAGTCGTATATCATTCATCTTCTAGGGTTAACTCTTACTTCTGATATTTCTTGGAAACCTTATATTAAATTCGTTGCAAAAATTGTATTTGCTAAAGTTGCATCTTTTTATCAAGCTCGACACTTTCTTACTCTGGATTCTTTTCTTTATCTCTATAAATCTCAAATCCGGCCTTGTATGGAATACTGTTGCCATATCTGGGGCGGATATTTAAATGATGCCCTTTCTCTTTTAGACAAGGTGCAAAAATGCATTGTAAACACAGTTAGACCTGCTCTTGCAGCTAACTTTTAACCTTTGTCACATCGTTGTTACGTTGCTTCACTTTCTTTTTTTTCAAATACTATAATGGGCACTGCTTTAAAGAGCTAGCGTCTCTTGTGCTACCTACTAAAGTTCATTATCGTGTTACTCGTTATTTAATTAAGTCTCAACTTTTATTCGTCTAGTTTTTTTCCTCGAACATCAGTTCTTTAGAATTCACTACCTCTCTTTTGCTTTCCTGATTCATATAATTTGCAATCTTTTAAGTCGTCTGTCAATCTTTATCTTGATCTACAATCTTCATCTTTTCTCTTCCAGTAACTTCCAACACTAATCAGTGGTTGTTTGCAGCTTCGTTGGAAAGATACTTTTGATCATCTGATAGCGATTTTACAACTTCAGAGTCAAGTTCTATTATTGCATTAGGAAATTCAATTTTTTTCTTTGACTTTGAAGCTAGGTACTTTACCTATAAGTTTTCCAATAGTACCAGAAAAGTTTTTTTTAGATGTAGTTTTTCCGTAAAGCTGAATGTAGGAGAGGTAATTCATTTGTATGAAAAGCACAAATTATTCAAATTAGTTTTTCATTTTAGTATTTCAATTTATGTTCAAGATAGTGGATAACCATCCTTTTCAAGCAATTTTTAAATTTATTGAGTCCGCACCAATGGAAACTAAATAGTCTCCAACATCATGACTCACAATCCATTTGTAAAGATTATTAGTTGTTTGCTCAGCTGCAGTCTCTACTTTTTCTTCAGAATTGTTAGCGTAATAAAATTGGTTTTTTTTTCCAGGTTCAGAACAAACTGAATAATGTTCTTTATTTTTTCCAATGGATGTAATTTTCCATCTTCTTCTTTTCTCATGTACTTGGTTAAATCTTTTCGTCCATCAAAAAATATACATAGAATATTATCATTTATTGCTACTTTTTCAGCTCTACCTCAAAATTCTTTCATTAACTTAGTTTTTCTTTGTTTTATTTTATCGTGATCAGCAAAAATATTAGTATTTTTCGTTTAAACTTTTGCATCTTTTGCAGAAGCTAAAGTAGCAATAGCTATAGCTGCTGCAGTTCAGTTTGATACCCCATACCTAATAGTTGCTTGAGATATCCTGGTAATATCTAGGTAATTTTTTTTCAAACTAAAGTATCTTTGCTACTTTTGGACATATGCAAGTAACATAAGCTTTAAAAAGACAATCATTGCATCCATTTTCATTACAGTATAAGATTTTGAACTTTTTGTCAAGTCAAATAAATTATCAAGTTTGTCCGTATACATATTATTTATTTTTCGTAGTTCTCAATTTTCCAATGTCTTTTGCAATGTTCCACTTAAGGAAAAGTTTATCGGCTGCATAATTTTCTGAGACCAACAGGATTGTAGAATTTGCTGACACCTATACAAATATTTATTGAAATAAAAATACTTTTTATTTTAATAAATATTTGTATACGCATACATCTTTTATCGAAATGTGTAACTAATCTATCACGCGACAAAGTTACATATCGTAAACTATCTCTCAGTGGAGGCAGCTCTAATAAAAAAAGTTCAAATCCGTTACCCAATAGCTCGTGCAACTTA